GCTCTTCCAGGTAAAGTGTATTACAAAAGGAAGCATCAAGGCTCACAACAAATACAGGGATTGTTTACTTCTTAGAAGATATAGCACCCTGGATTATCCGCCTGCCTTTCTGAGAAAGAGAAAAGTAGTCCTCGCCAAAAGGCAGAGGCAGCTCCTGCCTGCCTTATTTGTCCAAACTGGTCCAGAGGTCAGACAGTGAGGAGAGAGGGAAATGGGGCAGAGGGAGATGTTCCTTGACCCTGGCAGGGAGAAGGAGCGGTAAAGCAGAGAGCTGGAGCATCAGGGAAGCAGCATAAGGTGCCTAACTCTGATAGCTGCTTTTTGCTTTCCCCAGATTAGGTGCTGAGCACAACAGGGACACTCGCAGACAAGTTTTACAGGGAAGGTCCAATTCTGTACTCAGCCTTCCTTCAGACATAAAAAATTTTGAAAGTGTGTATGTATATGTGTGTGCAGGGCGGGGGTGGAGGGCGAGGCATGAGAAGCCTGATAATTTTTGAGATATTTTCATTCTTTATACTAGAATCTCTAACACAATCCTTATTCATATTATCTCCTTGATTATTTGGTTTTGTTGCCATTGTATAATGAGCCACAAGACATTTTAATTTAAAAAATACTCCTAACACACATTTGTGCAAACATACAGGGTAAACATCCATCAAAATCAAAGCACATTTATTCTTTGATTATACAAAGCAACATCCTTAACAGATCGGATTTTTTTATATTATAAAATCATTTTATCTATTAAAATACATTTGCTGCTTCTGCAAACAGGAGAACAGTCTGAATTTCTGATTCATGATAAATTCGGAATCCAATTTTAAAGGCACGTTATATTTTCATTACCAAGATTTTTTTTGCTTTCTAGTTATTCTTCCAATGCTTATGTCCAAAAATGCACACATTCTTCCTCCCAAATCAGAAATGAGAACAAAATTCTCGACTTATTTAACATTGTAAAAGACATACCATGCACATATGGGAGAGAAGATTTTTTTTCAAACACTAATGATTAGTATCCCAAAAGGTGAACAATTTTGAGGGCTATATATTTATATATTTCTCTTATCCCTTTAGATCATGACTGCTATATATGTAGGCTATTATATAAAGTGTACATCTGTCCATCCATACATAAATATATGGAGGGTGCATGTATGTATGTATGTAGTATAATAAGACAAAAAAAAGAGTCATCTGAAGAAAATGACGATAATCTCGCCGTGTATATACATATTTATCGCTATAGCTGGCTAGACGGCCCCACGGCCGGGCGGGCGCACGCAACCCGGCGGACTTGCGGCCAAGACTTCCTCAAACCCGTTCAGAACCCCCCAGACAATCTTTATCCGGGACCGTTCAGCGATTGAAACGGCTCGTCGTAATTGGCTGGCCACGGTTGTAACCTCTAGCCCATAGGAAACTGGAATTCGTAATGCACCAATGGCAAAGTGCTTTGTGCCAGAAGTGACGTCACTGGCGCCGTTAGCCAGTAGGAACGCAGAGAGCGGAGGCTGTAGATTTGCATAAGGCCCCTATAAATAGGGGAGTAGCAGCATTCGCAGCTACTCTGGTGCTCCAGTGCGATCAGAGAGTTGTCGACATGCCTGAGCCAGCGAAGTCTGCGCCCGCGCCCAAGAAGGGCTCCAAGAAGGCGGTGACCAAGACGCAGAAGAAGGGTGACAAGAAGCGCAAGAAGAGCCGCAAGGAGAGCTACTCCATCTACGTGTACAAGGTGCTGAAGCAGGTGCACCCGGACACGGGCATCTCGTCCAAGGCCAGCGGCATCATGAACTCCTTCGTGAACGAAATCTTCGAGCGCATCGCCGGCGAGGCGTCGCGCCTGGCGCACTACAACAAGCGCTCCACCATCACGTCGCGGGAGATCCAGACGGCCGTGCGGCTGCTGCTGCCCGGCGAGCTGGCCAAGCACGCCGTCTCCGAGGGCACCAAGGCTGTCACCAAGTACACCAGCTCCAAGTAGAGCGTCCTGGACCGCCTATTTTGACCCAAAGGCTCTTTTAAGAGCCACCTATTTTTTCAAGTAGAAGGGCTGATTTTACTCTTGATTCAAGAAAGGTATGTAAATTCAGTTCTATTTATAAATAACTTTCATGGACTTAATTGTTTCTTTAGAATTTGGAGGGCTTTTAATTCTGTACTGGTTTAAAGTATGTCATACTAGAAGTATTGAACTACATTTTCCTATCATGCTATCGCTTCTGAGCTTGAATGTGGTTGAGAATAAAAGCAACTTTTTCATTCTCGCGTTTGTTAGCGCTTCTATTTAGAAATATGGAAGCCTCTGGGGGGAAGGCAGGGAGTCCTTTAAAAATATATATACTGTAATAACTGACTATATGTTTTAAGTTTCTCTTGCTTTGTAGTTTAGGCAGGTTTCAATTACTATTAAGAATATGTCTTCTTCGCACCGCAACCATTCACCCGGAGGCAAAAAATAATTAAAAAAGTAGTTTCTGTCCTTAATAAATGCTTACAGAGCAGCTATTCCCTAAGCCTTCCAGACGCTATTTCACCACGGTTTCCCATGGATCATCCTTCCCCTCACCTTCTATTATTTTTCAATAAAGAAACTGTGTCCCTTTTCGAAATCTTGAAGGCAGAGGAGGAATATTATTTATGAGTGTTTTTCCCAACTTGAAACGCCCTTGCACGAAGTCTGTTGATGCTGCTTTTCTTTCTTTTATTATGGTCCCGATGCGAACCTGAGGGACATGTCGGGGTGGGGGCGGGAAGTGTGTGAGAGGTTCGGAACACAAAATTTGCTGGACACCACTTCAGTATGGGAGAGGGGGAAAAATAAGAATAAAAATAACAATAAAAGAGGCTCCGTTCCAGCCCGGGGTGGCGGTGCTGCCGGGTCAGGTAGAGCGGGGCGGCCGCTCCGCTCCCGTCCCCGCCCGCGAGGCGGCCCCGGGAACCGCCCCGGTCGGGGCTGGAACCCCCGCGGAACCGGGGGCGG